TCACGGACAACACCAGTGACGTTTTCACTGATCAACAAAAAAGACATTTTTTTCGGGCCTGGACTTTTGCAATTTAATTTCAGGGTGCTGATTCCAAATCTGGCATCAGTTTTTGTCTATCGCATCAGGTTTTTGAGATATCAAATATTGCATTTTCAATAAAAACTTGCAGAAGAAAAATATTAAATAAATGTGGATATCTACATAAAATGATATTATAAACACACTATCCTAGAAATACAGCACCATATTTTAACACTAAAGCAGTCACTGACTCGCAAAAACTTGCAATCATAAGTGACGGAGTTAATTTCTGGCCTGGACTTTTGCAGCTGTTCTCGACTAATTTCAGGGTGCTGATTCCAAATCTGATCTCAGATTTGCTCTATCACATCTCATTTTATGCTATCGGCATACCCCATTTTCATTGATTTTACCCGAAATTAACTCTGTCACTTATGATTGCAAGTTGTTGCGAGTCAGTGACTGCTTTAGTGTTAAAATATGGCGCTGTATTTTTAGGATAGTGTGTTTATAATATAATTTTATGCAGATATCCACATTTATTTAATATTTTATTCTGCAGTTTTTATTGAAAATGCAATATTTGATTTCTCAAAAACCTGATGTGAAAGACAAAAACTGATGCCAGATTTGGAATCGGCACCCAACAATTACTTTAAAACCGTTGGAATACCTTATGCCAGAAAAAGTGTGTTGACCAGTGTTATTATCTGAAGCGGTCCCGGGCCTCCCCTAGGTCGACTCAGCCTCAGATGAGTACCTGGTGCGATGTGTAAACATCGCCGCTAGGGAGACAAAGGCGGCCGGGTGTGGTGCTGGCCACCCACCCCCTCGTGTGCTCGCTAACAGCACTTGCCCCAACAGTCTGTTAAGGCTACACAGGGGATCTTTGTCTTGTTTACGTGTGCACGTGGGCGCGTATATGCGTGCGTGTGTAAGCACTGGGTCACGTGGCTTGCCACCCGCTCTTCTGGACATCCGTAAAAAAGCAAAAAAACCGACAAAGGTTCGTAGTCATCTTCTTGGTTCTTTCGGTAAAGTCACGTAGAAGGGAAATAATAAAATAATAAAAAATAAAAATTTAAGTTTTTATTACTATTATTATTTATTTTTATTATTATAATAAAATAATAAAAATAAAACATGATAAATGTATTTTTATTATTTTATTATTTCCCTTCTACGTGAATTTACCGAAAGAACCAAGAAGATGAATCCCTGCAGTCACGAAAGCTTTACATCGAAAAGCTTCGGAGCTCATCGGATTCCTCCGGTACAAAGTAAAGATTCTGATCGTGGGCTCGGTCTCGCCCAGGCTCCAGCCCACAGGCTCCGAGCCGCAGGGGCTCCCTGGAGGCCCTATGGCTCAGCCCCCCAGCGCCAGCTGTTCCCTGCACAGCCGCCCGGCTCCCTCCCTCCCTCCCTCTCTTCTTCGATCAGTGGAAACAAGAAGATGCTCGGTGTAGTCGGCACTTTGCTTCGTTCATCATTTCGTAAAAAATATATTATTTTTTTATTTTTATTTACTTTGCTTTATGTAAACCCCCACCTCTCGCTCACTCAATCGCTCACTCTCTCGGTCACTCTCCCTCGGTCACTCTCTCGCTCACTCTCTCGGTCACTCTCTCGCTCACTCAATCGCTCACTCTTTCGCTCACTCTCTCGCTCACTCTCTCGCTCACTCTCTCGCTCACCCTCTCGCTCACTCTCTCGCTCACCCTCTCGCTCACTCTCTCGGTCACTCTCTCGCTCACTCTCTCGCTCACTCGCTCACTCTCTCAGTCACTCTCTGGCTCACTCTCTCACTCTCTCGCTCACTATCTCGCTCACTCTCTCGCTCACTCTCTCGGTCACTCTCTCGCTCACCCTCTCGCTCACCCTCTCGCTTACCCTCTCTCTCTCTGGAGGGGGGGGGGGCTGCCGCTGCCTCTATCTGTTGCTGCCCCCCCCCCCCCACTACTACCCCCCTTAACCCCCCACCCTCCCCCCCCTTGTTCTTCCCAGGATAGACCGAACCTGTTGCACTTACCATCCAAATTAGGTGGTGGGGGGGTAGCAGGTGGCAGAGTGACTCTCGCTACTCGCATGATCGGCGCTCTCTCGCTCGCTCGCTCATTCACTCATTCGCCCACTCTCTCTCTCGCTCCCTTTCGTTCCCTCTCACTCTCTTTTTTTATTGTATTTTTTTATTATTATTTTTCGTAATGTTTTATTTTTTAATAACTTTGCTTTAAGTAAACCCCCATCTCTCGCTCACTCTCTGGCTCACTCTCTCGCTCACCCTCTCGCTCACCCTCTCGCTCACCCTCTCGCTCACCCTCTCGCTCACCCTCTCGCTCACCCTCTCGCTCACCCTCTCGCTCACCCTCTCGCTCACCCTCTCGCTCACCCTCTCGCTCACCCTCTCGCTCACTCTCTCGCTAACTCTCTCGCTCACTCTCTCGCTCACCCTCTCGCTCACTCTCTCGCTAACTCTCTCGCTCACTCTCTCGCTCACCCTCTCGCTCACTCTCTCGCTCACCCTCTCGCTCACTCTCTCGCTCACTCTCTCGCTCACTCTCTCGGTTACTCTCTCGCTCAACCTCTCGCTCACTCTCTCGCTCACTCTCTCGGTCACTCTCTCGCTCACCCTCTCGCTCACCCTCTCGCTCACTCTCTCGCTCACCCTCTCGCTCACTCTCTCGGTCACTCTCTCGCTCACCCTCTCGCTCACTCTCTCGGTCACTCTCTCGCTCACCCTCTCGCTCACTCTCTCGGTCACTCTCTCGCTCACTCTCTCGCTCACCCTCTCGCTCACTCTCTCGCTAACTTTCTCCCTCACTCTCTCGCTCACTCTCTCGCTCACCCTCTCGCTCACTCTCTCGCTCACCCTCTCGCTCACTCTCTCGCTCACTCTCTCGCTCACTCTCTCGGTCACTCTCTCGCTCACCCTCTCGCTCACTCTCTCGCTCACTCTCTCGCTCACCCTCTCGCTCACCCTCTCGGTCACTTTCTCGCTCACTCTCTCGCTCACTCTCTCGCTCACCCTCTCGCTCACTCTCTCGCTCACCCTCTCGCTCACTCTCTCGGTCACTCTCTCGCTCACTCTCTTGCTCACCCTCTCGCTCACTCTCTCGGTCACTTTCTCGCTCACTCTCTCGCTCACTCTCTCGGTCACTCTCTCGCTCACTCTCTCTGTCACTCTCTCGCTCATTCTCTCGCTCACTTTCTCTACCCCCTCTCTCTCTACCCCCTCTCTCCTTACTCCATGTCGCTCTTTTTCTCTTTCGTTCCCCCTCGCTCTTTCGCTCATTCGCCCACTCTCTTTCGTTTCCTCACCGTGGCGTGCGCGATGACCACCACCACCACGTGACTTTTATTTCGTGTTGTGCGCGGTGCTTTTAGCGCCACAGCGCGTGGATTTGTAGCGTTTGTTTTCATTCGTTTTCCGGTGACTTTGTGTATTTCATATCGGAATCGCCTCCAGTGCTGTTGCTGCTGGCGGCAATAAAAATAGTTTGAAAGTCTTTCGTCCTCTCGCTCTGTCATGCTATGCTCGCTGGCTCCATCTCTCGCCTAGTATACAGGTGTAGCTCTTCATTGGTTCCTCATTTGCCCGTAAAAAATATGATAATTGTTTTTTTACCCTTTTATCTGGCAACACAACTGACACCTTTTTTTACGAGGAGTCATGTTTGCAAAGACCACAATACCTGCAGTCATAATGCAAATGAAAAACACAACTCTGATAATGTATGCACTGTCCTTGAAGTTGATTGGTCCACACCCGAGACAGCTTTCCTTAGAGCCTAGTCTCCATTGGTGTTGGACCAGATGAAGCCAAAAGGCGCACAACTCAAAGACAGCGCACTGTCAGAGTATTGAGAGCTCGGGGTAAGCATTTACACCATTGGGACCTCATTTGCCAGTAAAAAATATGATAATTGTTTTTTTACCCTTTCAACTGGTACAAAAACTGACACCTTTATACAAGGCATCATGTTTGCAATAACCACAACACAAGCAGTCAAAATGCAAACAAAAGGAAACAACTCTGATAATCTTAATTTTGGAGCTTTCGTGACTGCAGGAATTATTCTTTGGTTCTTTCGGTAAAGTCACGTATACAGATAAAAAATAAATTAAATAATAGCATACGACGTTTCGATTGCAACACAAGCAATCATCATCAGGTATAATGAAATAGCGACATAAAATCTAACCAGAAAACTATAGACAGACATATAAGCAGACAGATATCACCATGATACATAGAGAGAGAGTAACACAGGTACAGAGAGGGGTGATCGTCTCTGTGGGGTGCCCTCTGTCTATTTAAGGCCACCCCACAGAGACGATCACCCCTCTCTGTACCTGGGTTGCTCTCTCTATGTATCTTGGTGATATCTGTCTGCTTATATGTCTGTCTATAGTTTTCTGGTTAGATTCTATGTCGCTATTTAACTCTGATAATGCCGCGACCAGCCACAAGTCGCCGCCGCTCACGAGGATGACCCGAGTTTATTAGCTCCTTTGACGAGATCAGCATTTGACCCTGATAGTCTGTCAAGGCTGTACGGTGGAATCCGTTTTTACTTTTAAAAATGTGTGCGTGTCTTCTTGGTTCTTTCGATAAAGTCACGTAGAAGGGAAATAATAAAATAATAAAAATAAAACATAATAAAATACAATTCTCACGACGTTTCGGCCACAACTGCAAGCAGTCGTCCTCAGGTGAAGAACGGGTCTGTCTCATTCAGACGCTGTCTTCCCGACAGACCTGTTCTTCACCTGAGGACGGCTGCTTGCAGTTGTGGCCGAAACGTCGTGAGAATTGTATTTTATTATGTTTTATTTTTATTATTATTATTTTATTATTTCCCTTCTACGTGACTTTACCGAAAGAACCAAGAAGACGAATCCCTGCAGTCACGAAAGCTTTAAATCGAAACGTGTGTTGGTGTGTGTGTGTTTGTTTTCTTTGGCGTGCAGACAGCTTCGGCAGGGCGAGCAGCAGCAGCAGCAGCCGCAGCAGCAGCAGCCGCAGCAGCAGTAGCAGCAGCATGCCAGACTCACCGGTGGACGTGAAGGTTCCAGCTCGCTCCAGCGCCACACCTCCAGCCATGCCTCCACCTCCTGCCGCAGTCGCCCAAGGAGCCCCGCGAGCCAGCACCTACACGCCCACCGCCAGTACGTGCGGCACACACGCACGCACCTACACGCCCACGTGCGGCGCACACGCACGCACCTGCACGCCCACCGCCAGTACGTGCGGCACACACGCACGCACCTACACGCCCACCGCCAGTACGTGCGGCACACACGCACGCACCTACACGCCCACCGCCAGTACGTGCGGCGCACACGCACGCACCTACACGCCCACGTGCGGCGTACACGCACGCACCTGCACGCCCACCGCCAGTACGTGCGGCACACACGCACGCACCTACACGCCCACCGCCAGTACGTGCGGCACACACGCACGCACCTACACGCCCACCGCCAGTACGTGCGGCACACACGCACGCACCTACACGCCCACGTGCGGCGTACACGCACGCACCTGCACGCCCACCGCCAGTACGTGCAGCGCACACACGCACGCACCTACACGCCCACCGCCAGTACGTGCGGCACACACGCACGCACCTACACGCCCACCGCCAGTACGTGCGGCGCACACGCACGCACCTACACGCCCACGTGCGGCGTACACGCACGCACCTGCACGCCCACCGCCAGTACGTGCAGCGCACACACGCACGCACCTACACGCCCACCGCCAGTACGTGCGGCACACACGCACGCACCTGCACGCCCACCGCCAGTACGTGCAGCGCATACATGCGCGCACCTACACGCCCACCGCCAGTACGTGCGGCGCACACGCACACACCTACACACCCATGTGCAGCGGACACGCACGCACCTACACGCCCACGTGCGGCACACGCACGCACCTACACACCCACGTGCAGCGCACACGCACGTACCTACATGCCCACCGCTAGTACGTGCGGCGGACACGCACGCACCTACACGCCCACGTGCGGCGCACACGCGCGCACCTACACGCCCACCGCCAGTACGTGCAGCGCACACGCACGCACCTACACGCCCACCGCCAGTACGTGCAGCGCACACACGCGCGCACCTACACGCCCACGTGCAGTGGACACGCGCGCAGGTGAGATCAGAGCCATCCCTCGGGTAGACGGCGAATCAGGGCGAGAGCCCTGGGCCCTGCGCCTGTGGCAAGAGGGGGGAGAGGGGGGGGATCGCGTGTTCGACGTCACGGCGTCATCAGATGCAAAGCTTCCGATTGAGTTTGAAGGCGACGGGAGGGGGGGGTCAGCCCTGGGCCCCGCACCTCCCGGTCCCTGGGGGTGAGCCTGTAACGACGGTATCACGAGAGAGAGAGAGGGGGGGGAGAGGCAATGGAGAGAGCGAGAGAGAGAAGAAATTAGAGCGTCATCTCTGATGGACATTGACATCTGTGTCCCCCGGTGGTGCGCGTGAGTTCGCGGGTATTTTTCGCGCGTGTGTGCGCGTGTGTCAGTCCGCGCGTGTGCGCGCGTGTGTCAGTCCGCGTGTGTACGCGTGTGTCAGTCCGCGCGTGTGCGCGTGTGTGTCAGTCCGCGCGTGTGCGCGTGTGTCAGTCCGCGTGTGTGTGTGTGCGTGTGTGGGGAGCGGGGGTGCAGCGGTTAGCGCTATGCTGCGCTACGAACCTCGCGAGCCCCGGGTTCGATTCCCGCTCCGGGCCAACATCTGTGACGATTATCTGAACCGGTCCTGGGCCTCCCCTAGGTCGACTCAAATGAGTACCTGGCGCGGTGCGTAAAAACATCGCCACTAGGGAGACAAAGGCGGCCGGGCGTGGTGCTGGCCACCCATCCCCTCGCGTGCCGTTCTGGCCTTCATAGGTGCCCGCTAACGGCACTTGCCCCAACAGTTGTTGCAGGCTATGCGGGGGATCTTTGCGTGGGGAGCGGAGATGCAGCGGTTAGCGCGCTGCGCGACGAACTCCTTCGTACCCGAGTTCGATTCCCGGCCACGGCCACCATTCACCGGTTCTCGATCATCATCTGAGCCGGTCCTGCGCCCACACTCGCCCACCCCGGGGTGGACTCAACAGCTTTAAATGAGCACCCGCTTATGAGTTGTGTTAAACATCGGCAGTTGGGGAGACAAAGGCGGCCGGGCGTGGTTCTGGCCAACCATCCCCGTTCGTGCGCAGTGCCCGCCTTCATGGGTACGGCAGCACTCCGCGAACGGCACTTGCCCCGAAAAATCCGTTGAGGCTACACGGGGGATCTTTGCCTGTGCAATGCATGTATAAATAAGCAAGCGGGTACCCGTAGAGCCATCGGAGGGCAGGCGACTCGGGACGAGGCTGGCTCGGTGATAGCGGTCGTATTTGCAGAGCACGCGCACACTTTTTAGGGCAAGTCACAATTCCAGTTCTAAATTTAAATGCCACCACCACGACCACCACCAGCCAGCCACTAGCCACTACCCAGCCACCACCAACCAGCCAGCCAGCTACCCAGCCACCACCAACCAGCCACCAATCATCACTCGCCAACAACCACCACCACCCAACTCCACCCACCCATCAACAACCACCACCATCACCAACCCGCCACCACCCACCAGCCACCAACCCGCCACCACCAACCAGCCAGTCACCAATCATCACTCGCCACCACCCACCACCACCCACCCATCACCAACCACCACCACCAACCCGCCACAACCAACCAGCCATCAATCATCACCCACCACCCATCACCACCCACCACCAATCACCACCACCACCACCAACCCACCACCACACACCATCATCCACCACCCATCAACAACCACCACCCACCCATTACCAACCACCACCACACACCATCATCCACCACCCATCAACAACCACCACCCACCAACCACCCACCAATCATCACTCACCACCAACCACCACCCACCACCAATCACCACCACCACCACCAACCCACCACCACACACCATCATCCACCACCCACCAACAACCACCACCCACCCATCACCAACCACCACCACACACCATCATCCACCACCCACCAACAACCACCACCCACCCATCACCCCCTACCAACCACCGCCGTCACATCCCAAGACGTAACAGGTAACAAGAACAACAACAATAATGTCAACAACCTGTAACGCCTCGCCGCCCCTGCACTAAGAACCCGGCGACCCGTCTGCCAACACCAAGTGACGATTATCCGAACCGGTCCTGGGCCTCCCCTGGGTAGACTCAGCCTCAAATGAGTACCTGGTACGGCGTGTAAACATCGCCACTGGGGAGACAAAGGCGGCCGGGCGTGGTTTCTGGCCACCCACCCCCTCGTGTACCGTTCCGGCCTTCATAGATGCTGCTCGCTAACAGCACTTGTCCCAACCGTCTGCTATGAGGCTGTACGGGGGATCTTTGTCTTTGTGTGTGTGGTGGGGGGACGGCAGTGATTGCGTCTCGCTGAGCCCGATGACAGCAGCAAGGCAGGTGGCGGCCACTGCGGTGAAAGGAATGAGCGATGCAGAGGGGAGAGGCCGAGAGAGGGAGGCGAGAGGGAGGGTAGGAAGCTGTAGGGGAGAGCGGCAGACAGGCTGGGTGGCAGAGAGAGAGAGAGGAGAGCGACTCGAGAGAAAGAGAATCAGAATGTTTTAGACTGCAGCAGGAGGAGGAATCCGATGAGCTATGAAGCTCTTTGTCACAAATGTCCAGCGTGGGCACGGGGGGCTCGGCGAACGAGACGCAAATAAACGAAAGGAGTGCTAAATAGAGCAAAAGGTGAGTAAGTCACCAACTAGAAATCAATGATAAACGACTTCATGATATAAGTCCGATTTGTCAAGCTTGAGCAAGGCAGAAAAAATTAACCCGTAAAAACAAAGTTTTTCACTATAAATCCTTTATATGCGTGGCATCGGTTTTATTTTATTATTCATTTCTGTTTTTCTTGAGTAAGAGTTTCATTTTTATCACATTGGTATTTTAAATTAAATATGATTTTTTTTTCCCTAAAAAGTGGAACATTTTGGGGAAAAAAATTCACGCACAACGAGTCTGTGTGCAAAATGTCAGCTTGATTGGATCACGGGAAGTGGGTTAAAAAACGACCGAAAGATTTGCACGGTCGTAAGCGCGCAAGCAAGCACGCAAGTGAACTTAATATAAAGGATTAAAAAACAGTCCCAGACCAGAACCTCCCAGTTCAACCATTCTACACAACAAAGACTCATTCCTGGCAGGATATCAGCCGCACCACCTCTACATAACAAAAGGCTCAGTCCCATTTGCACGCACCTTTACATCATCCGCACCTACTTTACACAACAAAGGCTCATTCCTAGCAGCGTGCTTCAGCCGCACCGAGCCTCACAAAAATAATATCCAGGGCCTACCTTGGCTCCTCCCACCCTCAACCAGTATATATACAAGGACTGTTTTTTTCTTGGTTCTTTTGGTAAAGTCACGTATAATGGAAATAATAAAATAATGAAATTAAAACATAATAATATTTTATTATACGTAATAATATTTTATAATGTTTTAATTTTATTATTTTATTATTTCCATTCTACGTGACTTTACCGAAAGAACCAAGAAGATGAATCCCTGCAGTCACGAAAGCTTTAAATCGAAATTTAAGGACTGTTTTCTTGGAATTTCTCTCACTTGATACAGCTATCGTGCTGTGACGGTTCCACCTGAAGACGGAAGCTTGTGTTACCTCCAAAACGTCGTGATTTTTATTTTACTTTTATTAATTTTAATTTAATTTTTTTTACCTACGTGACTTTACCGAAAAAACCCTTCGAATATGTCCCAGACCACACCAAGATAAACGATTTAAATTTCCTATTTTCATTTCACCAGGTAAGACCCCACTCGGCTGTGTAGCTCTTTTTCAGAAGCGACGTGGCCATCACGAGTGATAGCTCAACGAAGCGGACTCGTCGTTTAGGAAACGCATTGCGTACAAACACTCCGAACGCATGTGACGGTGATTCTAAATGTGGGCGAGAGAAACGGAGGACCCTGAGAAAAATCCACGCGACCACGGGGAGACTTTTAGAATTTTTAAACAACTTTTATTGCCGCCAGCAGCAAAAGCACTGGAGGCGATTCCGATATGAAACACACAAAGTCACCAGCAACACAAATGAAAATAAACGCTACAAATCCACGCGCTGTAGCGCTAAAAGCACCGCGCACAACGCGAAAGAAAAGTCACGTGGTGGTGGTGTTGGTGATGGTGGTGGTCATCGCGCACGCCACGGTGACGAGCGAGCGCTTCAGAAGGTGAACACCACGAGGGTGCCGTCCACGCTGGTACTGAGAGGGGCTTTTCCGGCTCCCCAGCGTTCGAAGAAGACGTGCACATCACCGACATGTGTGTGGTACATGGCGTGCTCCAGCCGGAGCCGCGCCTTGAGCAGGCCCCTGAACGCTGGAAGCACAGAGCAGCCGTCAGTGTCACCTTCCAGCATCTTTTTTCTCGTTCTGTACATCGCCATCTTCGCCTGAGCACAGGAATTCCACGTTACTGTGGCGGTGGCCAGTCCATCCGCACAAGCACATGCGTTGGCTCCACGATTCCACGGCGATGCTCTGTCTCTTTCTCTCCCCCCCCCCCCCCCCCCCCCGTCTCAGAATGGTGTGAATGTTGAAACTCACAACAACATCAACAACAAATTAGTTCGTTTACGCGAAACCCACGTACCTGGCCGGATACGGGTACCCGTTCCCTACCCGTACCCGGCCGCACCAGGGTCGCAAACGGGTACCCGTACCCGGCCGGGGACAGGTAGGGTACGGGTATCGGGTACCTGATTGCGACCTCTGGGATGAAGCCATGTTGCAGGCGCGGGTGGGTTGATTCTAGGAACTTGAATTGTGAGAAGAGACAAGACGTTGGGAAATGAGTGACAAACGGTGACTCACCAGTGACTCACGGCATACCCGTATCCGGCCGCACCAGGGTCGCAAACGGCTACCCGTACCTGGCCGGGTACGGGTAGCCGGGTATCGGGTAGGGTACGGGTATCGGGAACCCGGTTGCGACCTCTGGGTCCAACACGTGTCTCCAAGCTCACACGGTCGCTCCCGCCCGCGTGTTTACGCAGTGATCAACGGTGGCTCCAGCCACTCTCCCACCGCTGCCTCTATCGGAGGGTCTCCCTCGTCCCCTCCGCACGGCTACCACGGACCCTCTCCCTCGCCCTCGTCTGGGTCCTCGTCCTCCTCCTCTTCGCTGTCTTCATCGTCGTCGTCGTCGTCTGCGTCACTCTCCTTGTCCGCCGCGTCAACACTCGGGCAGCAGCAGCAGCACCACCAGTCACAGCATCACCACCATCACCACCACAACCACCACAGCAACCAGCAGCAGCATCATCATCATCATCAGCAGCAGCAGCATCATCATCAGCAGCAGCAGCACCATCAGCAGCCGGTGCCGGCGGCTTGCGGTGCCAGGCAGCTGAGCAAGTTGAAGAGATTCCTGGCGACGCTGCAGCAGTTCGGCTCCGACATCTCGCCCGAGATCGGAGAGCGAGTGCGAGGATTGGTGCTCGGACTCGTGGTGAGTCTCTCTGCGCGCGTGTGTGTGTACACGTGTGTACACGTGTGTGTGTGTACGCGCGCGTGTGTGTGTACACGTGTGTGTGTGTACGCGCGCGTGTGTGTGTGTGTGTACACGTGTGTGTGTGTACGCGCGCGTGTGTGTGTGTGTGTACACGTGTGTGTGTGTACACACGTGTCCGTGTGGTGTACACACGTGTGTGTGGTGTGTGTAGACACGTGTGTGTGTGTACACACGTGTGTCCGTGTGGTGTACACACGTGTGTGTGGTGTGTGTAGACACGTGTGTGTGTGTACACGTGTGTGTGTACACGTGTGTGTGTACACACGTGTGTGTGTGTAGACACGTGTGTGTGTACACACGTGTGTGTGTGTACACACGTGTGTGTGTACACGTGTGTACACACGTGTGTGTGTGTACACGTGTGTGTGTGTGTACACACGTGTGTGTGTGTAGACACGTGTGTGTGTAGACACGTGTGTGTGTACGCGTGTGTGTACACGTGTGTGTGTGTACACGCGCGTGTGTGTGTGTAGACACGTGTTGTGTACACACACGTGTGTGTGTACGTACACACGTGTGTGTGTGTACACGTGTGTGTACACGTATGTGTGTGTGTACACACGTGTGTGTGGTGTACACACGTGTGTGTGTGTAGACACGTGTGTGTGGTGTACACGTGTGTGTGTGGTGTACACGTGTGTGTGTGGTGTACACACGTGTGTGTGTGTACACACGTGTGTGTGTAGACACGTGTGTGTGTGTGTGTAGACACGTGTGTGTGTGTAGACACGTGTGTGTGTACACACGTGTGTGTGTACACGTGTGTGTACACAGGTGTGTGTGTGTACACGTGTGTGTGTGTAGACACGTGTGTGTGTGTAGACACGTGTGTGTGTGTGTGTACACGTGTGTGTGTGTGTGTGTAGACGTGTGTGTGTGTGTGTACACGTGTGTGTGTGTGTACACGTGTGTGTACACAGGTGTGTGTGTCCGAGTGTGTCCATGTGTGTCCGGGTGTGTGTACGCGCGCGTGTGTGTGTGTAGACACGTGTGTGTGTGTGTACACGTGTGTGTGTGTGTAGACACGTATGTGTGTGTACACACGTGTGTGTGTGTACACACGTGTGTCCGTGTGTGTGTGTACACACGTGTGTCCATGTGTGTCCGGGTGTGTGTGTACGCGCGTGTGTGTGTGTGTACACGTGTGTGTGTGTACACGTGTGTGTCCATGTGTGTCCGGGTGTGTGTGTGTACGCGTGGGGAGCGGTGGTGTAGTAGTCCGCGTGCTGCGCTACGAACCCGGCGACCCGAGTTCAATTCCCGCTCACGGCCACCACCAGTAACGATTATCTAAACCAGTCCTGGGCCTCCCCTAGGTCGACTAAGCCTCAAATGAGTACCTGTTGCGGTGTGTAAAACATCGCCTCTACAGAGACAAAGGCGGCCCGGCGTGGTTGCTGGGCCACCCACCCCCTCGTGTACCTGCCTTCATAGGTGCTTGCTCACAGCACTTGCCCCAACAGCCTGATCAGGTTATATGGGGGATTCATCTTCTTGGTTCTTTCGGTAAAGTCACGTAGAAGGGAAATAATAAAATAATAATACAATAATAATAAATTAATTCTCACGACGTTTCGGCCACAACGCAAGCAGCCGTCCTCAGGTGAAGAACAGGTCTGTCGGGGAGACAGCGTCTGAATGAAACACTACCACGCTTGGAGCGTATATTTAAGCTGGGTTGGAGGGGGAAGAGCGCCTTGACAAAATAATTTGCATATCAAGAGGAATTTAGCATATTTATGGGGAATGCATATATGGGATTAGTACTACTTGTGAAATGCGTAGGAGGTGGGCGGGGGGTTTCAAAGTCATATTATGCCCGTGCATTATGCAGGATTAGCAGCAACAAAGGGAGGGGATAGGGGTAGCATTAATAAAGGGAAGTAATGTTAATAGTATTTAGCTGCAGTAACTAAACTACATAGTATCATCAGTATACTAAATATACTTTCCAATAAGCTGAGCTACTAACAGTAAGTAATACATTACAATTCTACGTCGCAAAAAAATATCATATGCTTCCAGCTCATCTTTTTGGTTCTTTCGGTAAAGTCACGTAGAAGGGAAATAATAAAATAATAAAAATAAAACATAATAAAATAATATATTAATATATTATATAAAGGGGGGGAAGCAAGGAAAATAATAAAATAATAAAAATAAAACATAATAAAATAATATATTATCCTTCTACGTGACTTTTCCGAAAGAACCAAGAAGATGAATCCCTGCAGTCACGAAAGCTTTAAATCGAAATTTAACTGTCTGAAAGAAAATGTTTTTTTTTCCAATGCTCTTAGATAAGTGACTGTTTTATCCCCCCTTCCTCTCAGGCTGTGAGTTGTTTTGTTGTTTCTTCCTCTAATTCTTATTCTTCTCCGATGGATTACAGCGGAAAGGGTTTAACGAAATCCGCACTTGTTCTGGCTGCAAGATGAATCCCTGCAGTCACGAAAGCTTGAAATCGATGCTTCCAGCTATATATGTGGGATCTTTGTCTTTGTACACGTGAGTCTGCGTGAGTATCCGCGTGAGTCCGCGTGAGTCCGCGACTCTCACGCTGTGGGCCGCCCTCCTCCCTTGCAGAACTCGAGTGTGACCATCGAGGAGTTCCACTCAAAGCTGCAGGAAGCAACCAACTTCCCGCTGAGGCCTTTCGTCATCCCCTTCCTGAAGGTAACGCGGACGGGGTCCGGGCGGGGGGGGGCAGGGGGGGCCAGGGGGGGGGCAGGGGTGGGGGGGGGTTGAGGTCTAGGAGGGCTATATTCTTGGGTTTTTTCGGTAAAGTCACGTAGGTAAAAAAATTTAAATTTATTAAAATAAAAATAAAATAAAAATCACGACGTTTTGGAGGCAACACAAGCTTCCGTCTTCAGGTGGAACCGTCGTGATCGTCATCATCGTCCACCTGAAGACGGAAGCTTGTGTTGCCTCCGAAACATCGTGATTTTTATTTTTATTTCTTTTTATTTTACTTTTATTAATTGTAATTTTTTAACCTACGTGACTTTACCGAAAAACCCCAAGAATATGAATCCTTGCAGTCACGAAAGCTTAAAATCTAGTCTAGGAGGGGTACCAAGCCAAAGCTCAGCTCCTCAAGCAGCTCAAGACGATGAGCTCAGATCCATGAGCGAATAAAGGGGGGGGGGGGCGGGCAAGGAAATAAGAGCTTTGACATTCTCCCGAACATGACAACAACAACAAGAAGCGACTTATCACGATGAAGTGAATGAGCGTATCTCATCATCGCTGCATCGCTCGCCTCTTGCCTCCGTGTCTCTCTCTCTCGCTCGTCTTGCTGCGTCTCTTATCTCTTCCCTTCATCCCTTGGGTCATCCTCACGGCAAGGAGTTTATACATCACAAGGAGGGGGTGTGGGGTTGGCGTGGCGACGCAGGCTGCATAAATAATGCTGTGCACCCCCTCCACTCTCCCCTGTTGGGCCAGCTGCATCGTCGTGATCGTCATCATCGTCATCATCGTCATCAGCAGCATCGTCATGATCGTCATCATCGTCATCATCGTCATCAGCAGCATCGTCATGATCGTCATCATCGTCACCATCATCAGCATCATCGTCATGATCGTCATCATCGTCACCATCATCAGCATCATCGTCGTGATCGTCATCATCATCATCATCAGCAGCATCGTCGTGACCGTCATCATCGTCATCATCATCAGCATCATCGTCGTGATCGTCATCATCGTCATCAGCAAGCATCGTCATGATCATCATCATCTTTATTTTTTTATCTTACTAGGCAAAGCCCATGATGATGGCCTTCTCGTTCCGAACGGCGGGTAGTAGTCGTATATACATATATTCTTTTCATGGCTAACTCAAGCGCGCTAATTAACCGGGGCTGCCCGCCGGTTTCGAACCGCGACGCTCTGCAAACAAAAAGGTCGAACGCCCCCTGCGTCTGAGCCCTGTCAGCGAGATCACTGCAATCAGCGGCATGAGGATAACGACAGTGATCATCGCGGTTATCAGCAGCGCCGACGTGCTGATTGAGTAACCTCGAATTACAGAGTCCAGCCTTTTGTCAATTGTGCCCGGCTGCAAAGACAAAGATCCCCCAGGTAGAGCATTTAACAGACTCTCGGGGCAAGTGCCGTTACCTTGCCGATCTCGTCGAGGCGGGCATAAAGCTCTCGCCGCGCGAACTCCGCTCATCCTCGCTAGCAGGAACAAAGACCGTCACAGATGACGCACACGGTCACGTGTCCTCCTGTGTGGCTTCTGCAAGAGGTTGATCCCGGCCTTTCAGAGCCACGTGGTGGGGATTTAGCCAAGACCCACACAAATCGCACACATCAACCGTCGTCACGAGGACTCCGCTCGTCATCATCATCAGCATCATCAGCAGCAGCGGTGCCCAGCGTCGAACAAAAGCGGTGGTCACCGCGCCATCGCGCGGCGCTTTCAAATGCGCTCCTGCGGCCGTCTGGAAAGTTCTGTTCGCGAGTAGCACCTATGCAGGGCACGCGAGGGGGCGGGTGGCGAACAACCGCACGCCCGGCCGCCTTTGTCTCCCCAGCTTTGACGTTTTACGCACACACACCGCTGGGTCTACCTAGGAGAAGCACAAAGACAAATACAAAGATCCCCCGTATAGCCTTCACGGACTGTAGGGGCAAGTGCTGTTAGCGAGCACCTGTAAAGGCCGGCACGTCAACACGAGGGGGTGGGTGGCCAACACCACGCCCGGCCGCCTTTGCCTCCCCAGTGGCGATGTTTACACACCGCACCGGGTACTCATTTGAGGCTGAGTCGACCTAGGGGAGGCCCAGGACCGGTTCAGATAAATCGTCACCGGCGTTGGCAGACGTGAGCGGGAATCGAACCCGGGTCGCCAGGTTCGTAGCGCAGCGTAGCGCTAACCGCCGCGCCACCGCTCCCCCCGTTGCAAATACAACGATCACCACCTCCCCCACCACCTCCCCCACCCCTCCCTATTGGCCTTCCATCCAGCAGCGGATCGACCACGGCTGGAGGTGTTGATGACGTCACACACACACACGATACCCGCGCTGCTGGCACGGGCATCTGGGCGCAGCTGTCCCGAGCCGCGTGTTTTTGTTTATCACGAAGCGGTAGGGAGGGTGGGTGGGGTGGGGGTGGGTGGGGGGGGTGGGGGGTGGGGGTGGGGGGGGTGGGTGGGTGGGTGGGTGGTGGGGGTGGGCGGGTGGTGGGGGTGGGGAGGGTGGGTGGGGGTGGGTGGTGGGGGGGGGGTGGTGGGGGTGGGTGGGGGTGGGTGGGTGGTGGGTGGGGGTGGGGGTGGGTGGGTGGGGGTGGGTGGGGGCTGGGAGGGGGAGGGTGGGGGCTGCGAGGGGATGGGTGGGGGTGGATGGGGGTGGTGGGGATGGGTGGTGGGGGTGGGTGGGTGGTGGGGGTGGTGGGGGTGGGTGGGGGTGAGGTTGGTGGGGGTGGGGGAGGGTGGGTGGGTGGGGGTGGGGGGGGGCTGCGAGGGGTTGGGGGGAGGCTGCGAGGGGGTTGGTAGGTGGTGGTGGGTGGGGGGGGGCTGCGAGGGGGGTGGGGGGGGGACTGCGAGGGGGTTGGGGGGGGCTGCGAGGGGGAGGGTGGGGGGATATTTGTTTATGTTTATTTTTCTCAAATTCCAAGAACTGCAAGGAAAACATCTGCCCCTGCTGTGGCCTCCTGTGGTCCTCTGCACGCGCGCGTGCGTGCGTGTGTATGTGTGTAGTGGGGAGGCTATACGGGGGATCTTTGTCTTTGTTATTGAGGAGCGGTGGCGCAGCGGTTAGCGGTGCGAAGCCAAGCCGCGACCCGAGTTCGATGCTCGCTCGCGGCCAACGCCGCTGAAGAACGCCCGAACCCGCCCTGTGCCTAACCACCCCCCCCCCCTAGGTCGACTCAGCCTCAATTGAATACCTGGCGCGGTGTGTCAAAACATCGCCACTCGGGGGGGGCGGGCGGGGGGCGGGGAGACAAAAGCGGTCCGTGGGGGACGCGGTGCTGGCCACCCACACCCTCGTGCGCAGTAAACAGCACTTGCCCCGACAGCCTGTTGAAGGCTATACGGGGGACCTTTGTCTGTGTGCGCACACGTGCACGCGCACGCGCGCGTCTCCAGATTTTGTTCTCAAGCTGCGAGTCGCAGCTCGCGCTGTGCGGCAGATGCTGGAATATTTTGTTATTTATTTTATTATTATTTTATTTCACATTCAAATAAATAGTTGTTCGTTTCGTTTTTAAATAAATAATCACTGTTTATTATCTGTAGCAGGTGAGCAGGCCTCACCTGCTACAAATGACAGCAGCTCCACAAAGTGGTGGATCATCATCATCAGCAGCAGCATCCTCCGCGTGGACATTTATAGCAGCAGGCAAATAAATAACTCCCTAAACGCGTGGTGGGGAAAAACCGTAGGACCAAAAATCCACGCGACCACGGGGAGAGAGAGAGACGCACGCAGACTTCAAATGTACAGCAGCAGGCGTCGTCAGGGTCGGGATCGAACCCACGACCTCCTGCACACCGGGCGAGGTAGTTAACATCTCCTAGCCACCGTGATGATGATGATGAGAGAGAGACACGCAAACTCCAAATATACAGCAGCAGGCGTCGTCAGGGTCGGGATCGAACCCACAACCTCCTGCACACCAGGCGAGGTAGTTAACATCTCCTAGCCACCGTGATGATGATGATGAGAGAGAGACACGCAAACTCCAAATATACAGCAGCAGGCGTCGTCAGGGTCGGGATCGAACCCACAACCTCCTGCACACCAGGCGAGGTAGTTAACATTTCCTCGCCACTGTGATGATGATGATGAGAGACACGCAAACTCCAAATATACAGCAGCAGGCGTCGTCAGGGTCGGGATCGAACCCACGACCTCCTATATACCAGGCGAGGTGGTTAACATCTCCGAGCCACCGTGATCATGATGATGATGATGAGAGACACGCAAACTCCAAATATACAGCAGCAGGCGTCGTCAGGGTCGGGATCGAACTCACGACCTCCTATATACCAGGCGAGGTGGTTAACATCTCCTAGCCACCGTGATGATGATGATGATGAGAGAGAGAGACACGCAAACTCCAAATATACAGCAGCAGGCGTCGTCAGGGTCGGGATCGAACTCACGACCTCCAATATACCAGGCGAGGTGGTTAACATCTCCTAGCCACCGTGATGATGATGATGATGAGAGAGAGAGACACGCAAACTCCAAATATACAGCAGCAGGCGTCGTCAGGGTCGGGATCGAACCCACGACCTCCTGTATACCAGGCGAGGTAGTTAACATCTCCTAGCAACCGTGATGATGATGATGAGAGAGAGAGACACGCAAACTCCAAATATACAGCAGCAGGCGTCGTCAGGGTCGGGATCGAACCCACGACCTCCTGTATACCAGGCGAGGTCGTTAACATCTCCTAGCCACCGTGATGATGATGATGAGGAGAGATCCGCAAACTCCAAATATACAGCAGAGGTCGTCAGGGTCGGGATCGAACCCACAACCTCCTGTATACCAGGCGAGGTGGTTAACATCTCCTAGCCACCGTGATGATGATGATGAGAGAGAGAGAGACACGCAAACTCCAAATATACAGCAGCAGGCGTCGTCAGGGTCGGGATCGAACCCACGACCTCCTGTATACCAGGCGAGGTAGTTAACATCTCCTAGCAACC